CCCCACCCCCGCCCCGGCCCACAGAACAGGGAAAGGAACTCCATTTTTACAGATAACTGAAGTCTTCGAGCCTTCAAATCTCCTGCCTGCAGATTTCTAGAGAATTTAGTTTCAGGGGACTTATTGGAGTTTCAAGGACCTACCTGCCTTTGCTTCCTGCACTGGGTCTGAGGGACACCTGCTGTGTCATTCACACGGGCATTTACTGCGTGTCTGCTATTTCTAATACTTATATGTATTAGCCCTTCTATTTCTCATAACAATCCCATGAGTTTGGGGCTCTCCTTGCCCCGTTTGACAAACAGGACAGAGACATGGAGCAATCTGCCTGTGGTTATGGGGCCTGTGAGTGGAAACGCCTGGCTTTCAACCCAGGCAGCGTGGGTCTGGAGAAGGTTCTTTTCACCACTATGCCGTGGCTATGAGCCAAGAGGCACATGAGGCTACAGGGTGTGCACATGACATCAACTTTACTCATACTTTCTTGGGGAAAACATTACTCTCATGTCAAAATATGGATAAATTATGGGTGAAAATGCAAATTCATATGTATTTTTTTAGATACATCCATGGGACAAGGATATCTTATGTTTATTTTAAGCTGGCTTCTGACACCCTCAATTTACATATTTGTTCAGTAAGCATTTATTAAGCTCTCTATGTGCCAGGCACTGCGTGAAGGCTGAGGGTCAAAACCAGGCAAGGTCTAGACAGGCTCTGTCCTCATTGGGAAGGCAGCCAACTAAACACAGACTGACTGTGTGAGAAGTGTTAGGTTAGGCAAGGGCAGGGGCTGAGGGACCTCAGGCCGAGCAGGGGCCCTTGTCTATGTTTGGTGAGGGTGAGTGACAGAGGGCTTCCTGGAGGAAGTGGCATTTCAGCTGACACCTGTCATCTGGAATACTGAGCAGGAGTGTTTGAGAAGCAGAGAACTAAGCAAAGCCCTGTTTTAACTGATGAGGCTGTGAAGCAATGAGACATGTCATTCATCCATCCATTCAACGCTCCAATCAGCATTTACTGGCCCCCTCTCTCTATGCGAGGTTCATTGGACACTTGGGAGTGCCTGGGCTCCCCACACCACGCAGACCTTCCCACACACCTGAGTGCCTCCTTGAGGACCTCCAGCTCCCTGTCCTTCTTCTTGACCAGGGTGGTCATCTGCGCCATCTTTTCCTTGAGCACACTCAGCTCCTTGTTTTGCTGTTGGACCAGTGCCATATTCCTCTCCAGTTCCATCTTCTGCTTCTCATTAAGCTCCCCTGGGAGCAACATGAAAGCTGGTGAGGGGGTATCCCACCTTGGGTCTCCCCTAGGGCTACAGCAGATCTGCCAGGCCCACAAGAACCACGAGGCGGGTCCACCCTCCAGGAATTCTTAGAGGGCTTCAGTAATGGCCGGGAGGTCTGTTTGCGTCTGAGCGCACAGCAGGAAAATGGCGCACGGGCATTGCCTTTTAGGGAGTGCTGGCTCTCTGAGGCACTGCGTGCCCGTGCCTTAGCCCAGGGCTACATTGGCCGATGCCGTCTGCCTCCGCCTATGTACCTGTGGCAATTCAGGGCACTCTGGTCCACTTTCAGCTGCCTGTTTCTGCATCTGTTTGCCTAACGGTGTTCTAAGGCCTCAGGAATCTGCTGTGCTCATGTGTCTGCCAGGTGCCAACAGCCTCCAGTGACAGGTGGAGATGAGCACACAGTCCAGCTCCCTTACCCTCAGGTGGGCCACCCGGAGGTTTGAACTCAGAGTTATTTGGCCCTACCTAGGTGGCCCCAAATGTCCGCCTAAACCCTAGGAAGCAGGTGTGCTGTAGGTGATTTTGCCTCAGAGGAAGGAGGCCTGCCCGAGATCCCAAAGCTGGTGAGTGCGAGGGCTTGTGCAGGCTGGCCTGCCCCCGGATGGAGACTTTGCTCCCAGACACAAATCCTCAGTAAAGGGGATTCTCCCCACAAAAGAAATTGCATTTCAATGCAGAGGTCCAGAGCACTCTGAGAATGTTCTCCGAGGCCCCCTGATACGGAACCAGTGTTGTAGCCAGGATTCAGCTTTTACTGACCCTGAGTTAGAAGCCCAGGAAAGCAGATCGAGCGGGACGTTTTGCTCCACGCTTTCCAGCTCGTCGGCCCTGTTTCTTTCCTTTCTTGAAGTGGGTCAAGACATCAAGACACACAGGTCATCGTACAAACCTCTCAAATCTGACATTCGGTCACGAGCTTCTGTGAGGTTCTTCCTCAAGTTCACGATGACCTCCTGCTGAGACAGAATTTCCTTCTGTGCAGTCAACAAATCCTCTCTGAAATGCACAAAAACAGGCCGAGTCAGGTCAACTCAGGCTCCGTGGTGTCTTGAGTGCCCGGAAGGGGCCAAGTACAAGTGCAAAGTGATGGCTTGTCAACGGTGGTCCGTGCGATACCAGTCCCAGCAAGGGTTGGATAAGCACACGCTTCATTTAATAAGCCTCAAAACAAAAATTCATTTTGAGGCACTGTCATTAGAAAGAAACACATAGAGATAGAACAGAGGGTCCCACTGGGTTCCATCTGAGGTTGAAATATGATTTGCATGAGGGTGACACCTCCTCCTGTTCGAGCATCCGTCAGCATAAGCTGATAGAATTTTGAGCTTGGTGGAAAGAGCAGCGAAGACTATTCCTTTTGTGGGCTCAGGGATTCTTTGAAGACGAGGAAGGAGAGAGAGAGCGAGGACAGTATGGCTTTTGTTCTCTCACTAGCTTGTTTTAGTTCCTGATGGAGAGAGGTGGAGCCAGAAGTAAAAGGATGGTGTTCACGGGACCCTTTGTGAAAGTGTGGGTGTTGGAGCCCAGATAACCAGGGGGACACAGGAAGGGCGAGATGAGGACAGCTCCTCCCCCACCATATCCCAGAGGGCAGGGCATCTTTGGTACCACGAGGCTCAGGGTGGTTGACGGGGACGGCTACGTCCAGTGAGGGGTGTGCCACGGGAAGGGGCCCAGCATAACGGGTGAGGTGCCTCGATGGGGTTTAAGTGGGAAAAACATGGGATGCTTTTCTGAACAAGTGTGAGGCACCTCAGCCCTGAGGAAGGCATGTTGTGTGTGTGTGTGTGTGTGTGTGTGTGTGCGCGCGTGCGCGCGTGTGCGTGCGTATGTGTGTGCGTGCGTGTGTATGTGTGTGCGTGTGTGTGCACGCACGTGTGCGTGTGTTGGGGCAGGAGGAAGAGCTGAGGTCGGGCACATTCCAAAAGGGGTTAAGAGCCTTTGGGCAGGGATGAATGTCACTTTGAGTTCGCAGGTTTTTGAAATCCAGGCTCTTCTTATATGGACTCTTGAAGGTAGAGTGTATGTTTATTATGAAATAAAGCAAAATACTGGCAGGTTGCACATCAAAATAAAAAGGCTGGTGATCAGTGGGATGGAAATAACTATATATGTATACACGTATACATATATGGGTGTGTGTCTATCTCTCATCTCTCAATCATCTATCTATCATCTATCTATCTATCATCTATCTATCTATCTGTCTATCTATTATCTATCATCTATCTATATATCATCATGTATTTATCTCCTTGGCCGTTAACTCTTCCAACTGGAGGATGCAACTTTAAGACTTAAGGGTGTCCACAAGCTAAGAAGAGGAACAGAGAAGGGCAGTGGGTGGTGAGTCTTCTCCAGGTCACGGCGGCTGCTGTCTTTAGAGACCATTCTACCAGGAGGAGGCAGCTGGGAACTTTTCAAAATGTGGAGGCTGTGTATCTTTGCCTCTGGGGGGTTAAGGACCCTATGACATTAGACTTTGGAGATGGGTTCAGTGCAAGAATCTGGCTGGTGGTTTGTCTCCTTGGAGAACCTTCCTCTGTGTCACATTAGTGCCTTCTTGTGATATGCTGCTTGCCGGTGGCTTTCCCAACCTTGGGTTTGTTTCTCTGGAAATGATGAGTTCCTTGAGGCTCAGGGTAAAGACTTTTGGGGTGGGAGGGGTCTTTTTAGTCTTTCAGTCCAGCCTCTTAACTTTAACCCTCTCGAGGACCCCTCCACCAAGGGGTGCCCACTGTTTGAAACCTCCACTGTCTGCTCGACTTGAGCAGGTGCTTGGGAAACACAGCTAATGACAGCATCAGCTAGCATCTACTGAGCGACTGCTGTGCGCCAGGCATGTATTCCTTATTCCACAAACAAGGGAGCGAAGGTCCAGCGAGGTGACACGGCTTGCCCAGGGCCACACAACTGGAGCGTGCTGAGTTGGGGTTTGAACACAGATCCACCCCAATTTTTCCACGACACCACCCTGACTTGCTAAAGGAATTGAGGCATTTCAATAACAGTGAAAAGACCCCAGACTCAACTCCTTTTTTTTTTTTTTCCAGATTCTGACAACGTGGCCAGAAGCAGGGTTTTGTCTGTTTGTCCTCTCTTATGTGGCACACCAATGATCACCTGCCCTTTGGGTACTCACATCAACTGGTCACACTCCACATCTTTGGCACGGCTCGGCGACGGAGGCACAGGACGGGGAGGGGTCTGCTGTATTTCCTGCTCCTGGGCTGAATCAGAGGACAGGTGAACAAACGGTATTACAATCCTTGGGCAGCCGACGCTTTTCTTCCCCGTTGCTTCTTAACCCACCTTTCCCAACTTAGAGACTCTCCCTACACCCCGCAGCCCTCGCCACCTCCTGGGACCCACCTTCTGTTCTGTGTCCTAGGCTGGGAACCCCCCCACCCCCCACCCCCCATGATGACCTCTTTCCAGCTACTCTACATGCAGAGGTCATGAACTCCATTCAAGATGAGGAAAAGGTTGTGAGAGCGACGGAACCTGCCGATGACCACTCAGCAAGCTGGTGAGAGATGGAGCTTTAACTGCTGAGTCACGCCTCCCGCCCTGTTTTCTCCTCTCCACTCAGACAAGGGTCTCGTCCTGTCCTTACCTCCCACTTACTTCTCAGCCCACTGCCTTCTGGCTTCCACCCTCACCACTCAGTCACGAGTTCACTCACTCATTCACTCATTCCACAGTTCTTATGGAACGTCTGCTTTATGGCAGACACTGATCTAAGTGTCGGGGGACAAAGATGTGTCGCCCTTCAGGTCCTGCCTTGAGCGTCCTCCCTCTGACCTGGCCTTGGGTTGGGAAACTGAGTCCCCCTCCATGCCCTTGCCATGGTGCCCTGTTCATCCTGGGCTACCTGCCAGGGCAGTGATTCGGTTAATTGCGGGGACTCTGCCCGGCTTGCCCATCACGGAATCCTCGGTGCCTAGAATGAGCCTGACGCATATTAGGTGCTCCATTAGGAGTGCTGAGTGAATGAGTACACGAGGTGAGCCCTGACAGCTCATCAGCTGTCCTGAGACTAGGACTGTGGTTCTCAACCAGGGGCGAGCTTTCCCCCACCCCCGGGACATTGACAAAAATGTCTGCAGACATTCTTGGTTGTCACACTGGGGCTGAGGGGTACCCACTGGCATCTAGTGGGTAGAGGCCAGGGATACTGTTCAACACCCCAGAGTGCACAGGGTGTCCCCACCACAAAGGCTTGTCCAGCCCCAATGTCAACAGTGCCGAGGCTAAGAAACCCAGGTCTGAGGCTTCCACTTCTGGAAACCCTTTCCAAGTGTTCGGTTGTCGGAAAAGTTATGACATATTTTTTCCTATGTTTTTTGTTGCAAAAATGCGTCATGACTTTTCCGACAACCCAATAGCTAGTGTCTTTGCAATAAGAGGCATCACCCTGGTAATTTAGGGCAAATAAATGCTCACGGCTCTGAGTTCTGTTTCAGCCTCTTTTGGGGTTTATCTTTTTTTTTTTTTAAGATTTTATTGGGGAATTGGGGTAAGGGGAACAGACAAGTTGCTGTCCTTTTGTTCTTCAGTCTAGTTGTGAAGGACGTTGCTTCACTGGCCCATGATGGTATTATCATTGCGCTTTTCCTGGGTGAGGCAGATCCGTCGCCGGCCCCTGGACGGCCCTCATGGCGGCTCTTGGCAGCTCACACCGGCTGCCAGCCTCTCACGCTGGCTGCTGGCCACACACGGTGGCTTATGGCAGCTCACTGAAGTTTCACTGCAGCCTACGCCGTCGCCGGCAACTCACGGCAGCCCAGCTCCAGGTTGAGCTGTTGTTCAGCATCTTAGCTGTAGAGGGCAGTGTCACTGGCCCTCATGCGGGATCCGAACCGGGGCCCTGCAGCTCAGAGCTGGCGTCCCAAGCCAGCTCTTAGTCAACGCGCCACTCGGCCGGCCCTGGGGTTTATCTTTTAAGAAACAAATCCTGGCTGGTTATACAAGTGCATTAGACAACGTCACAAATTGCTGATGGCAGAGGGAAGGCTTTGAAAGGTCCCTGCTGGGGAGGTTCCCACATAGGAAAGATGAACCCCTGACATGCTGCTCCGATACCCCTCACAGCCCCGGCAGCCCGTGTGCCTCGCTGGCTGACTGGCTCCGCACCAACGGTGTCGGGACTCATTGTTGTTGCTTCTGTTTAACCTGGGCCTGGAGGGCCCCTAACCTAGCTGTGTGCCAAGGACAAAAGGGGGCTCCAGGGAATGAGTGAGCTTTTCAATGTGCACGGCCCTTTTCCTATCCATCAGCCTGTGGGGACCCACAGTACATTCAGAACCTGCCCCGAACACTAAGATTTCCTCGTTGTCTCGTTGGACCAACCTGAGTCACTGTTCTTCAAAGTTGCGATCTCTCCTTCTATTTTTTTATGGTGCTCAGTCACTTTTCGGAGTCTTTTTTCCAGACTCACGATCGTCTGGGAGTGCTGTTTGACTTGCTCCTTGTATTCCAGGATTTCTTCTTCAAATTCGTGTTTCTGTGATTTCTGTTCTTCGTGGAGGGCCTTTATTGTCTGCTGTTGCAGCTGCATCTGCCCCTCCATCATGATCTGGTGGGAAAACAAACGGCTAATGTGACCTTGGGAGCAGGATCTGAGAAAATAGCAATAGCAACAGGCCACTTTTGCACTCACGGCACTGAGCCTGGCTCCGCCTCAGGGCCTTCGCACATGCTACGCCCTCTGCAGGGCACACTGCTCCCCCAGCTCCTTGCATGCCGACTCCTTGTGTTTCAGGTCTCAGCGCCAATGTCACCTCCTCAGAGAGGTCCTCCCTGACTGCCTATCTAAAGGAGCAGCCCGAGATGTTTTGTATTTCATCACCCTGTTTTATTTTCACTGAGGCACTTCTCACCATGTGAATTATCTAGTTTCTTTATTTCTCACGCCCACTAGAATGTAAGCTCCGTGAGAGCAGAAACTTATCTTTCCTTACTGACCGGTATTACAACAGCACCAGTGCCTAGTTGCCTGCCACAGGCTCCAGACTTAGATGTTTAGTATACAGTCACTGAATTGATAAATGAACAATTTATCAATGAAATCTGTATTTCTAAAAACCAAAAATTACCAGTGATCCCCAAGTGGTGAATCAGACCCTTTCCCAGGACTGCCCTCTCCTTCCTGCGCTCTTCTTGGCGCTTCCATCTCAGTGCCTCATCCCCGCCCCCCTCCTCCTCCTCAGACAAGCCTTTTCCTGCTCCCTAATGACGTCATTCTCCTGCTCCCTATTCCTAGGTGACAAGCTGGGCCTTGGTCTCCATCTTCTCCCGATGGGTAAATTCTTTGCCCGAGAAGCTCACACCCATCCACTGTTTCGACAATCATGCCCACAAGGCTATCTTACAAATTTAGACATCTTGTCTTGCTTTCTCCCCCAAATCTACTGTACCACCCAAAGTCTGGGGCACTTTTGAACTTTGTTACCCCATGGTTGCCTCAGTGTGATCTCTTCATCTTCTCCGGAAGAGCGTCCCTCTCTCACAAGAGGCAACCCCGCCTCCCCAGACCTCCATGTTTCCACTGATATGCCACCCGTACGCCGTCATCTCTCAAGGTGCCCTGGCTTGAAGCTTGCCCGTCTCCTTCGGCACCTACGCTCCTTGATGCTCATATCTCGTCCATCACTTATGAGTCTGTCATTCCTGTAACTCTCTGTAGAGCGACTCCTTCCTTCCCACTCCTCTGCCTCCCCAAGTGTCCAGGTCCTTATAATTCTGGACGCTCGCAGTGGCCACAACATGCCCTACCCGGAGCTGGTATCTCCAACTCCAGTCTCTCTCAGATTCACTTAGTGTATGTACTTCCCATCACCTCCTGTCGGTTGCATGGATGAATGACGGACGAGTGCAACATTGAACCCTGGATGGTGGAGGGCCTTGAATACTGAGCTAACATTTTAATACGTTATCTTAAAGTATGCAGACTAGTCACGGATCATGAAATTCTGGGGCTCCTCAGTCCTTCAGACTGATCCTGAAAGGACCTCGTATTACATCACCTTAGAATGCCCTGGAGAGAGGGCATCACAGCCTCTGTTTACCTTTCATACTAAACCAGTGCTTCTCAACAGAGGGCGATTTTGCCCCCCAAGGGATATCTGGAAAAATCTGAAGACAGTTTTGGTTGTCACAACTGGCGGGGAGGATGCTACTGGCATCCAGTGGGTAGAGACCAGAGGTGCTGCTCAACTTCCTACGATGCACAGGATGCCCCCCCCCCAGGAAAAAGTTATCTGCCTCAGAGCGTCAGCAGTGCCAGTGCCGAGGCTGAGAACCCCTGGTCTACGCCACACATTCTCACGGCGTTGTGATCTTGCATCGAGAGAAAAATTCTCCCATCCCTTACCATTTTTGTCTTGGAAGCTTCCAGTTCAGCTAATGTTTCATTTAATTTCGTGGTGAGGCTCTCTGCTTTCAGATTCTCAGCCGTCTTTGTTTTCTGAGTCTCTTCTACTATGGCCAGTGCGTCATTTAATTTATTATTTAAAACACCTTCTTTTTGCGCTTTTAAGTCCATTTCCTAGACAAACAACAAACATCAAATGAAGAGGAATTCAGGAATAAGTATTTCCTAGGCTCCCCATTCCCCGTTTTCAGACAGGAGGTGAACTCTGTTCTGTTGCTGTTCTGTTGATCTTTTTTAAGTCCAAAGTCCACGCTTTCTCTGGAAGGTTTCAATTATTACAGAACGCTCTTTTATATTCAGCTGACATCTGTCTCCTTGTGATTTCTGGTCTCTGAGCTCAGTTCTGTCACCTGGAGCTCATTGAGTAAGCTTTATTTCTCTTTTATGAGATAGCCCTTTAAATATTTGAGGAAGGCTGTCATGTCTCTCTCTAAATCTATTTTCCAGGATAAATGTGCCGAGTGCCTCCACCCTTCATCACAGGACCTGCCTCCAGACCCTCCTGCACTTTCCTCCTTGGCTTTGGCACCGGGATGACCTCCCCTCTACCCTCCACCCCTACCCCCAGGCAAAACTGGACCGGTCGCCATATCCTTGCATATCCTGTCCCTCCTCCTGGGACCCCTTCTTCCCATTCTGGCTACCATTGAGAAATCCCAGTGTGTGCAGACAATGTGGGGACCTGGCCTAAGGAGATGTACACGGGGGACCCTGGCAGGCATCCCACAGAGCAGCCGTTATCTACCGCTCACACAGAGATACTCCAGGTGTCCCAGAAAATCCACAACATACTGAGATGGTTTCTTTGATGGGCCATGAAGCTGCCTAAGGGCCGACATGCCGCCTGGCATCTGTTCCATGCCAGCTGACTCAAGGACAGAAGAACAAAGTCCACTGTCCCCATGGGTCTGAATTTATTTCTCTCCTCCACTTTCTTCTCTTTCTTTTATATAAACCCTATTTTTGCCTGTGTAGATGAACTGAATCTTTCAAATTGCTCCTCCGTTTATACAGGTCAAACAGCAGCATGCAAATAAGCAACGCTGTGTCTGTGTGTGTCTTTGATCTTGTAGTTCCTTGGTCTTTGCTGGTAAATGGGGAGGAGCTGGGGAGGAGCCCTGTTTCTCCTTGTCTGGTGTGATGCCACCAGCCTGCCTTGAGGGTTGTCACGAGACCCTGCCCTCTGAGGTCACCGTGTTCTAAGGCTAATGTTGAGGACACTTTTGGTTGCATTACAGTCTCTATGGTGACCCTTAGGAAGCATTCATTTTCTCTGGGTCGAGTACCAAGAATGGTCCCATTTCCAGGAGCAGTTGGTCCGTTTTTGCCTATGACTTGCACAACCAGCTGGGCTTCCCTTTTCACTGTATCTGCTGGAATAAAAACTGTGACCCATTCATTGATTTCATGATATACGTGTGTGTGTGTGTGTGTGTGTGTGTATTTGCATTAGTCTCATTCCTGATCCATTTTATGCCCCAATTAATCTACTCTAAAAATTTAATTTCTCCTTTTCTTGTGCCCCTAATTGAAGTATTTTATGGAAGATCCCATGGTAAATCATTTGGGGGAAACAAGGAGGCTGCTTTTCATGGGCTGTCTCTAAGCCCGCAGCGTCGTGCCTGCACGCAGAGAGTCCTCCAGTAGCTGACGAGTCTTGCACCCCTTCCTCCAGCTCTGGTCTGCCTTCTCTGGGTACAGCACAGTTGGTCAAGAAACTCTTTTTTTTTTTTAACTTCACTTGATCCTTTCATTTTTTTCAAACTTTATTGGGGAACACGTGTTTTTTCCAGAGCCCATCAGCTCCAAGTCAAGTTGTCGTCCTTTAATCTTAGTTGTAGAGGGTGTAAGCTCACCTCCAGTCACCCCTTTCAATCTAGTTGAATAGCCCACCATTCCACATGGGAGTCAAACCAGCAACCTTGTTGTTAAGAGCACGTGCTCTCACCAGCTGAGCCATCAGGTCGCCCAAGGCACTCTTAGAAAATGCCCAGGACTGATATGGCATGCAGGTATGGTTTACTGACTCCTGTCTCCCTTGAGCAGGGGTGTTCCAGGCGCTCCAGCACCACCTGGGCTGCTGGCTAAAAATGCAGATTCCTGGGCCTCCCCCACAGGCAGTGAATCAGAATTTCTGGGGGGGGGGCAGAAATGGGCATTTAAAATAAATTTGCTGGTGATTCTATGCAGGCTAATGTTTGGGAACCTTTCTTTGAAGAAAATGATCCAAGATTTGATGTGAATAGACCTTTTTAGTCCCCCGTGGTCTTGAAAATCTTTTGAATTTACCTGTATTTAAATTTAACCCACTATTGTCAGGTTGTGTGTTTATTATTGCTCGCTTTGACTTCTGAGATATTGGCCATTGTGTGTGTGTGTGTGTGTGTGCGCGCTTCCCTCATACTGCTGGGTCCAGGAGGAGTGAATTACGCCCTATGGCTTGGAGGTGCCCAAAGCAGGGTCACGTGCAACCACAGCTTCTGCCCTCCGGCATCTATGATCCCCAGAAATAATTGTAAATGCCGTTTGATGATGAAGGTGGTAATGATGATGACAAGTTCTGTTGGAGAAACGACGTCAAGGTGACCGGAAGTTCAGGAGCCCATATCCGGACACCCCCTCCTTTACCCCAAGCATCTGAGCCCACACAAAGCTCAAGGACAGCAGACAGGGGAGGGGTGAAGGTGAAGGACTCAGGAGTCTGGCGTCGTGGGTTCGGATTCTGCCCCTCCACTTCCTAGCTGTGAGCTCAGAATAATCATCACAAAAGCAGCCAACACACAGCATTCACGGAATGCCGGGAACTTTTCTGTGTGTTTTCTGTGTGTATTATTAGCAACCAAGTCTCACCGCTCGATAAGGTTGACCTAGTGGTATCATCTGTGTTTCCTAAGTGGAGAAACCAAGTCACAGAGATGGTAAGTGACTTGCCGAATGTCCCACAGCCTGAGAGTGGCAAAGGTGGGATTTGAACCCAGACCTCCTGCCTCCCGAGCCTGCTCTTAATCACACCGGGCTCCTCCGGGTCTTCCCTCGTCGAGACTCATACCTCTTTCTGTTTGGTTATGCGGTTCTCCAGATCTTGCACCTTTTTCTTTTCCTTCTCGATGGCCTCCTTCGCTTTGCATTTCTCGTAGGCGATACTGCTCTCTAAAATCTGGAAGTCAACCACAATTGGTTTGAGGGTGTGCACACGAGAAAGGAAAGGAAATACCACACAAAGGGAAGCCAGGATTAGTAATCGTTGAAACCAGTGAGTCAGGGTTTGGGGGCAAGCGCTCAAGGAACAGGGCGCCCATTGGAGAGAGAGGTGAGGATCTTGGCACGCCCACCATGGTGAGAACCCGGAAGTCACGTCTTGGTGAGTCATGTGCATAAAAAGAGAAGAGTTATTCATCATTCAGGATTTCTGGGCTGGTGTTCGGGAAGTGACATGCTGGTGAGTGTTTAGGCCACAAGGCATTTGATGGTGAGCCACCGAGTAGGCTGGCATGTGTAGGTAACCACTGTGGGTCCTTGTGGGGAAGTGCCTGGCTTTTGGGGAGGTAGGGCAGGAGAGGCAAAGCAGGAGGAGACTCCTCCTGTCCCAGCAGCCCCGGTGCCTGTGGTATCAAAGGACACTGGCGGTCTCTCCCCAGTCACAAAGGCTTGAGTCCAGGAGAGTCTGGAACTGAGAACATATCCCCCCCATAGGTCTGAGGACTGCAGCCCAGCCTCACCCACACAAGCCCCAGGAGGTACGCAGCCAGAGTGGGGCTGGAAACTATTGCAGTTATGCGTCCATACAAAGTTCACAGCAAAAATATTTTAAACACATGCATACAGGCATAGACAAAAGACTGGAGAGATATCTACCAAGATGTAAACAGTGGTTATTTTGGGGGAGTTAGGATTATGGCAATTTACATTTTCTTCTTTTCATGAGTCTGTATCGTCTCAATTTCCTTTAATGAACATGCATTATTTGGCCAAAAAGAAAAAAAAACGACTGGAAATTGCTATAGGGAATGTTATGCTGGGGGTGGAGGGGTGGGATGAGACTTTGGGGAAGGGTGATCCTGGGGAAAAGATGACCTTCCTGTTTTAGCTCAGTGTCAGAGGCCTCCATCCCCCACCCAGCTCGGCACACCGGCCTCGCCAGCCCACCCAGGCTCTGACTCAACTCTGCATGGACTTGGTATTTTCCTACTGTCAAGTCTGCTTAAGACGGTCCAGTCCGCACCCTCGGTTCCCCCACTGCCAGTCTATGTCTTGCCTGTCATAAGAGGCCTTGTGGCGAGGACTCCTTCCCTTCGCTTATTACTCACTGCTTGATATATCACAAGTGAAAATAACAATGATACTGACACTCTTTAAATGCTTGCCACGTGAGTGCCTGGCACCCTGCACTGAATGCACGAGTGCATCTAATCCGCAAACCCCAAGACCGCATCTGCCCAATTATCCCCATTTTACAGGTGAGGACACAGAGGCTGCAAGAGGACAGGTAATGTGCCAAGGTCATATATACCAGGAAGCAGTGGTGCAAGCTCGGCTGCCAGCGCCCTGGCCTAACCACTGTCATCGGCCTCTGAACCCTGCCTTACTGTCCTCCTGACTCAAACCTCACCCTATCCAGAGGCGGGAGACAGGCTTATATGTTCACACTGAGGCTGGCACAGAGCCTGCCACCTGTCCAGCAGGAGCCCGAGTTTCAAGACCTCACCTCTGGCCCATCTGTATAAGGGACGCTCTGGGGACAGCTGTCAACCACAGTTTGGGTCCCACCCCTGAGTGAGGCGTGCTCTGTGTGGTGCTTGCTGCCTCACCCACCCGGACTCTGGCCTCACTTCCCTGCATGGGCTGGCACAGTTCCACTGCCAGTCTTTGCCTGAGTGTCCAGCCCCCCGACCCTTTGCTATGGACACCATCGTCCCCACCCCACCTGGACTCTGACCTCACCTGGGTAGGTGATTCACAATGAATGCATTGACTTCTCACAACAAACCTCTAGGGTAGTTTTGTCACTATACTCACATTACAGATGAAAGCACAGAGAGGGCCAGGAGCGTGCCCAGGGTCACACAGCATGTTAGGACAGAGCTGGGATTTGAGCCAGAATCGATGCTTCAAGCCCACCAAGCTTTCCTGCCAGGCCTCACTTTGCATGCTCTGTGTCTCCCTCCTGCTTTCTTCCTTGGCCGTAATCTTGCTTCCATCTTGTTCCAGCTTTACTTTCATTCCTTGCGCCGCCATCCCCATTCCCCTGGCTAACTCAGGCCCCTTGTCCTGTGTGTGCACTTGGCCACTTTATGCAGCGACATTCTCTACCCCCAGAGCATTGCTCCCTTGGTGCTCCCTCTCCCCTCCAGATGTCGCTCAAATGTCACCTGCTCAGAGAGGCCGTCCGTGCTTGCAAACCACTCTCTAACCCTGTGGTCATCCTGTGCACTTGGGCCTGCTTGCGAGTGTATGAAGCCAGGAGGCTGGGGCCAGGAGGGAGTGTTTTTCTATGGTGCCTGTGCTGGATTGCATCATAAATACTTTTCGGTGATGAGGAGGAGGCTGCTGGCTGAGGGACGGACCCAGGCTCTACTCCGGGGGTTCCTTTCTGGGGTGCATTTCTCTTCCCTAGGCTGAAGTTGAGCCTGGAGTGCTTAAGCAGAGGCCCTCTGATGTGAGGTGTAGCTCTGAGTACTTTGTATCGGTTAACTCATTGAATCCTATGAAGCAGGACTGTTACCACTCCCATGTCACAGATGAGGAAACTGAGGCATGGGAGGTTACATGATCTGCTCTGGGTCACATAGCGAGTAAGTGGCCAATCAGGCGATATTGGCCACTTGGAACGGAGATGCTGCCCAGTACGTGCCCATGTGACCAGAAACAGCACCTTACGTCTGGCTTCGGAGCACCCTGCACAGACAGGGCTTTTGGCCGCCAGCCCGCTTTCTCTCTCTGCACCTCATACCTCTTTCTGTTGGGTTAAGTAGTTTTCCAGATCTTGAACTTTTCTCCTTTCTGTCTCTAAGGCTTCCTTTGCTTTCTTCTTCTCATGGGCCACGCTGCTCTCCAAAACCTGAAAATCAACAACCGGTCTTTTTTGGTTTCCCAGCACATGTTGGGGGGAAACTGCTCGTTGTGGTGATAAGGCGAACGATGACAGTTAAGAGCTACAGGGCCGCCCGAGTGGCGCGATGGTTAAGAACTGGCTTGGGACACCAGAGGACCTCGGTTCGGATCCCACATATGAGGGCCAGTGACACTGCCCTCCACAGCTAAGATGCTGAACAACAGCTCAACCTGGAGCTGGGCTGCTGTGAGTCGCCGGCGATGGCGTAGGCTGCAGCCACTGCTGCAGTGGGTTGCCATGGGCTACCGTATGTAGCCAGCAGCCAGTGTGAGCGGGCAGCAGCCGCAGTAAGTGGCCGTCGAGAAGCCGGCGACTGATCTGCCTTGCCCGGGAAGAGCGCAATGATGGTGCCAACTTGGGCAAGTGAAGCAACGTCCTCCACAACTAGACTGACAAACAAAACGACAGCAACTTGTCTGTTCCCCTTTCCCCAATTCCCCAGCACTGTTCCCATCCCCCCAATTCCCAATAAAAAATCTTAAAGAAAAAAAGCCATTGGAAAGAACTAAAAAAAAAAGAATTATTTTTAAAATAAAAAGAGCTACAATCCTGGGGTTGGTCTGACCTGCCAGGGCTCATGGCCAGCACCCACCCACGGTTTCCTCTCACAGCAACCCTGTCAGAGAAATTAGTGGCCCCATTTTATAGATGAGGAAAACGAGGAACCGGAAGTCGGTGAGAGCCCCAGGGTCAGGCGGTGTGTTGACAGAGATGCTGGGATTTGAACCCTGCACAGAGGAAGGCACGCTGCCTGCACCCCGAGGCCCTGGCAGGCAGCAGGGGAGCAGAGAGAGCCGGACCTGCTTTACATTGGAGCCTGAGCTCTTATCACTATGCCAGGCAGCCTCCCTGATAAGAAGAAGAATCTCATCAATAATGGAATTTCCCAGGATTGAAATAAATCTCTTAAAAAGAATCAGGGCTCAAGAGGAGGGCGGTTTATTGAATGAATAAACACAACATACAGAGTTTCTCGGAGGGTCGGGGGTGGCCCTAGCAAGCAAAGCTCAGGTAGGTTGCAGGGAAGCAAGTGTGGTTAGGTGCTCATCATCAAGAAACTTTATTTAGGAAATTATCTGCTGATAAGCTATCCAGTTAAATGGCTTTAATGAGAATCACTCAGGGATATAAATTGCTGGCAAGGCCCCTGTCTAGTCACTGCGAGAGAAAGTCAACTTTCAAATGGGCTGTGTTTTAAACACCAGCTTGACTGTCAGATGTCTGGAACTTGGAACATGGTTTCCATTATAACTGGTGGTCTGGGTCCCAGATTAGCCTGCTTAAAGTATTTCATCCATAATGTGGCTGGAAAGCTATATTTTTTTGCAGTGAAAAGTCATTTTAAAAACCCCCAGCACTCAGCTGTCATAGTACCAGCCCCAAACAAAGGAGAGAGGGGCAGTAATAATATGGGAGCGTCACATTTATTTTGACCGTCTGAGGTGGGTTTCCGTCGAAGACATTTTCCTGTAATTTGTGAAAGGGCCTAAGTCCAGGCCCTTTCCCGTGACTTAGGGTTGGCGCCACTGCTTCTGACCTCACATCTATACTCGGGGCTTTCCTCTCGGTGGCTCCCCGCACGCCTCACACGTCCCCCCAGCTGCTTTGCTCTGAGTTCCTAGGCAGGTAACGGGAATGAACGTTACCTCAAAACCTGCATTATGACACAGCGAGTCTCTCATCCTTAAAGATTTGTTTGATAATATGGCAGAAGGTCTAATAAGAAGAAAAATCAAATAAGCGTTTGAGGTTGACAGATGTCTGTGTCTGAGACTCTTCTCTTCGATTCCCCTGTCAAGACACCACAAGAGGCTCTGCCCGGAGAAGTGGGCTGACATTTCGTAGGCCCGGGGTGACCCAGCCATAGCTTCCCCTATCACGCTGTCCCTTAAATCTCTCTCCTGAAGTCCCCCTATGACCTTGAAATCTCTAAATCCAAGGGCCTTCCCTAGCCATGAGCTGTTGACCTCTGGGTGGCATTTGGCCCCAGTGAGCCCATGGGAGACCTTCCTCCTTGTCACCAGCGCTGGAGAAATAACTCAGGGTCAAGCCTCAGAGACACTATTTACACAGGGCTACAGAGCACAGCTGCCTGGAGACCCTACTTGAGACCCCAACACACAAACATCTCCCCTTCCTGGAGCAGATCAACGAGCACAGGCTCTACCCAACTGTCTCCTTCCTCCCTCAGTGGCGGGTGGGCAAGGATGTCACTCTGAGGAGTGAGGGTGGCTGAGGGTTGGGCCTAAACAGAAGTAGAAGTAGGAGATAATGATAATAGCTACCATTCACTGAGCAATAATTTGGGTCAAACACTGCATGTTATGTTGTCTCTAATCCTCTCAGCCACCCCTCCTCGAAGGCAGGCATTGAAAAAGACCTGCTGTAGGAAGGATTGGAGCCCATGTCTCATCAGGCTGCGTGCCTGCGCTGTTCACCGCTGCGCTGCCTCAGGACTGACGGGCCAATGAAAGCATTATATGGAACAGACTCAGGGACCTGAGAGTGACCACAAGGGAGACTTGAGTCAGTGACGTAATAAAGCTTTCCCAAAAGCTAGTCTGGGCACATCAATAGAAGTACAACATCTTCACCAGGGGAGGGGAGTCCTGCCGTAGGCCACATGGCTGGAGAATGGAGCCCGGTCCTGGCTTCCACACTTTAGGAAGAACACAGATGATGGGTTGCAGGCTCAGATGCCTACAAAGGCCAGGCAGATACCAACATGAAGTACGCTGCGTTGAACGCAACAGGGGACGGTGAGGACGGTGGCTAACTGCTGCTACTTGGTTCAGCTCCAGTCCGTTTTTGCCAAGTGGAACGAAAGCCAATTTTTTTTTTTACTTTTCAAGAGAGGATGGAAATCTGTGTTTTTAAGTAAATTTGATGAATTCAAAATAAAAGACTCGGGAGCCAAACATAACATGCCCACAAGCCCTTTCAACCAGTGAACTGCCAATATGTGACTTCTGGGGAGCAAAGCAGACCGGGTGGGGGTACCCCGGCCAGGCTCTAGTCCTGTGAGGCACGTAAGGAGCAACAAGTGCACTCGGGTCTGGAGAGAAGCAGCTGTCTCTCTTTGCAAGCACCTGAAAGATCATCATGTGGACGAGGAAGGACACAGGTCTTTTGGGGGTCCGGGGTGGGTGGTG